ATAAAATATCTGAAAACCAAGTGCTTGAAGGCTCTGGACTTACTAAAAGTCGTTTCAAATACAGAGTGGGGAGGGGATCAGACTACTCTCCTTCACTTGTACAGATCTTTGGTTCGCTCTAAACTAGACTACGGCTCCATTGTTTATGGTGGAGCCTGCAAAAGCAATTTAGAAAAATTAGATTCTATCCACCACCAAGGCCAGAGGCTCTGCCTGGGAGCTTTTAGGACCTCTCCCGTAGACAGTCTATATGCAGAGGCTGACGAACCTTCCCTTGAACAACGCCGCATTAAACTTTCACTGCAGTATATGACTAAATTACGTTCAAATCAGTCCAATACAGCATACAATTGTGTTTTCAACCCTCTCTATGAAAACTTGTTTCCTAAACTGCCAAGCCTGGTTCCACCACTTGGAATCAGAATTCAACCACACATATCTGCAGCTAAAATTAATCTCAATATCACAGCACTTTACCGGCTTCTGTCTTTGCCACCCTGGCAGATGGTGAAACCACAGGTCGACCTTACCCTCACTAAACTCAAAAAGTCCGAAGCAAATCCTTTGGTGTTCCAGCAGGAATACAACCAGTTACGTTCCAAGTATGACACCCATAGATCCATTTTCACAGACGGATCCAAGGATAAGGACCAAGTTGCCAGTGCTACAGTCATTGGACCCAAGACTGGGTTCCCGATAACAGTTCCATTTTCACTGCCGAGGACGTCGTCATATGAGCGAAATATTCTCAAGCACGACGTTAAACCCAATTTCACCTCACCTCACTGCCGAGGCCAAAGCTATCTTCTCAGCTTTGACCTACATTAAACAGCAGAATCATTCCAAAAGCTTCATCGTTTTTACAGATTCATTATCTTGCCTTCAAGCACTTCAAAACGTTACTTCAAGTCACCCAATCATTCTGGACATTTTAGAACTTTACAACGACCTTTCTACTGGCCATTGTAAACCAAAAGTCTCTTTGTTCTTTAATCTGATTGGTTGATAAACATGATCAAATGGTATTCGATTCCCGGAAATTCGCTGCGTATTAATACATACAAACATCGCTCACACCATTGTATTGTTACGTCGTCAGCTGAGATGACGTCATTCAAATCATATTGTGGCGTAAAATCCGAATGACGTCACAAATGAGCAATTCCAGATGCTACCATGGGAGACAGCCGAAACGGCCGGCTGATGACATTGCACTGCTGTACCCGTACTCTATGTCAATGAGTGCAGACACAAAAACGTGTGTGGACCTTTTGTCGAAAAAACATCATGAGTTGGCCAATTTCCGGGTGTTATTGAGTATTTGAAGCACGGAAATATCCGGAGGTTTCAAATGAATTCCCGTGCTTCAAATACTCAATAACACCCGGAAATTGGTCAACACATGATGTTTATCTCCTAAATGTGACATCGTACTCTGCTGGTTGCCGGGTCACGACGGCATAGCAGGTAACACAAAAGCCGATGCTGCAGCGAAAGCAGCCCTTGACAAGCCTTTATCTCCACTGCTGATCCCGTACAGTGACTTCAAACCCACTATCAAAAGCTATACTCGGGACCTCATGCAAAAGAGGTGGGACACTCAAATGGGAAGAAATAATAAACTGTATGAACTGAAGCCAACAATTAGTTATACCTGCTTGGGTTGTGAGTCAAGACGTTACGAGGTAATTTTACGATGATGTCGTATTGGCCACAGTCGGTTTGCACATGATTATCTGCTGAAAACGGATGGGGATGGACACACACACACACACACACACACACACACACACACACACACACACACACACACACACACACACACACACACACACACACACACACACACACACACACACACACACACACACACACACACACACACACACCCACACCCATGTGTGTCTCTTGCGATGGTTTTCACCATCAAGCATATTCTGCTTGACTGTGTGGACTTATCGTCTGCAAGGGACTCACATTATGATGCAACAAATCTGAAAGATCTGTTCTCCCGTGTGAGCGCTCATCTGACCTGAGGGAAGTTGATCTGTATCATAAATTGTAACTTTTGGGAGCCGTAAATGTGTGTCATCACCGATTGACGCATGCGCATCTCTCTCTTACGACAAGCATGGCGTACTGAAGACCAGTTTTAACATGGATCTTCGCGGGATGATTTCGTCTCCCCAGGGAAAAGAGGGTTAAATCAAGGCTGGGTCCTGTCCAGTGTGGTTATGTATGGTTGTTGCGGAAACGTCGTGGAGCATCGTTGCGTTAAAGGTCGCAGTTTTACAGTCCAGTAACACTCCCTAGGAAAAGGAGTACCAGCAGTGTGTCCGTAGAGATGATGTTCCAGAAACCATATGTGAACGGTCAATATACTCTTGAAATATTGTCTACTGACTATGCACCACGAAGGGGCGGATAACTCCTACGGGTTTATTTGGCATTATGGCAAAGGTGAAGAAGTCATCCCGGGGAACTGCTTCTAGATCAGTGCCTCTTTAAATGTTTGCATTAGTTAAATATGGCCATGTGTCTTCGTGCTATAAAACAAAGTAAACATGCTTATTTAGTACACTAATGTACTTATTTCTTGACAAGAAGAAGGCAAAGATAAGTTGCCTATATAACAATACTGGTAAAATATATCAAAGTGTGTATCACTGTATCATGTATTTGTGTGTTTTCAACGCCACCCTCAGCGATATCACAGTTTAGTGGAGGCGATCCGTAATTATTTTATTCACTTTCCACATATTTTTAACATATGAGGCATAACTTGTGGAATATTGCACAGGCATTTTCCGTCGTTGTGGACGACGTTCCCCAGTTGTTGACGAGGAAGCTCCTCTGTTTTTGACGTGGGATTGCTGTAGCTCGAGTCGTCTCTGTTGTTGACGAAGCTTGGGCGATGAACTACTCTCGCTTGTAGTAGTTGCAAATGGTGAGTTGTACATGTACAAGAAGATTATCAAAGTCAGTCTCATGAAAATCATATGTTAATGGTCGCAACCACGAAGATCTGAGATCCTATTATATTTCTAGTAACTTGTTCCAAACCGGCAACTTCCATTGCCAACGACGCTTGAAAAAATGGGGGATGACAGAGATTGTATGGCGCTTCTATGAATATCAACAGTTCACTACAGTCTAAGTAAACTTATACTGTAAACTGTATAAGCAGTGTAACGAATAATACTGAGCTAATTACGTTTATTTCGACTGCAGTGCACTAACACTTGCATTAGCTGCTCGGCGGAAGCACTGGATATTTTAGAAATAGGTCATACTTGTTGGTGGGTCGTCAGGTAAATGGTTGGTAAAGGTGAGGTGAGGTGAAAGGTGAGGTGGGTGAAATTGGGTTTTACGTCTTACTTAAGAATATTTCGCTCATATGACGACGTGCATGCGTGTGTATGTGTATGTGCGGCTGCTTGTAGTAGCCCTGACTTAAGCTGGTTTTATAGTGCTAGCCCACTGAGATACCATGCCGCAGTGAAGCATGAATACCCCACTCAGACACATTATACTGACTCCGAGCCGACCAGTCCTTGTTGTACCCATTAATGCCGAGCGCCAGGCAGGGACCAACAAGTACCATATTTTAACGTCTTTTGGTATGACGCGGTCGGGGATCGAACCCGCGACCTTCCGCTCTCCGGGCGGACGCTCTAAACACTACACCACGGCGGCGGTTGGTTGAAAGGCGCCCATGAGACTGGTCTAAGGGCTGTATCAAATCTATCATATTTTGTTAAAAAGAATCTTTTTGACATTTTTATGTGATAAGTTTTCCTTCTCAACAGTCCCAGCAACCAAAACCTCTATTACATGTTACATGTTGCCTTGCCTTGCCTCAGCCCCAGAAGGTTGTGATAAATGTTTGCGCCCCCTCCCTCGTGTTTTTATGACCGCTCAATCTCACCCGACCCTTACCCCCATAATTCCTTACCAGTTCCTAAATAATGTCCGGATGCATTTGGGTTTTTCATTTGAAACAAATAGAATAGTCACTTTTTAATGCATTGAATAACTCACTGGATTGTCTGATTTACAGACCGGGATATTTCAGTGAGGCCTTATACAGCAACAACAACAAACGATCAGTGCAGGGGGGAGTAAATGAGTTTAGTTTTACGCCTCATTCAGCAACATTCCAGTGATATGGCGACGGACTGTAAATCGGGCGACTAACGGGGTCGGGTGGTCAGACTCGCTGACTTGGTTGACAAATGTCATTGTATCCCAGTTGCGTAGATCGATGCTCATGTTGATCTCTGGATTGTCTGGTCCATACTCGAATATTTACAGACCGCTGCCATATAGCTGGAATATTGCTGAGTGTGCCGTAAAACTAAACACTCACTCACTCACTACTCACATCGATCATTTAGACCGTTGGGTTGAAAGATGTCACGTTACTTGATGCATGGATGGATGTCTTTCAAAGCAAGCATTTGACAATGACAAGACATTCTTGAAAAGGGGCTTGTACATTCTTCAGGTGGATTTTATTCTAATTATAGCAGGGGAATTGTGTCATGTACTTCCGGGTTATGAGCCATGGATAGCCAGTGCTGACAACATTGATTCGTGTATTTACTTTGATGTATACAGTACAGTGTACCAGTACAGTATAGTACAGTACAGATCCTAAATCCTGAATTACAGGATATAAAATCTAAGCAGAAAGCACATCCACATCCCCCTCCTCCGCCCAACCCATGCCCCCGTCCCCGCTCTTACCAGTGTCGTGAGGATACGACGTCGTAAAAGGACATCGCAGGATTTCCTCACGCCAAGCCGATCAGCACACATACCCCACCCATCAATACCGTAACCACGTCACACCTCTGGCTTACGGACAACCCTTCCCTGAATTGAGCAACACATTCATGTCCATGTGAGCCTGGGTCATGTTTACAGTGAAGGAGTTTCCTGCCGCTGATTGGTCGCTCTGATATCACGTGACCAACGTTATCTCAATGGCTAGCGCTCCGAGTCTAGGTTATCTTATCTGCTGTAGTAAAGTTATAAAGCTGACGTGAAACGAGCGGTGTAATATTACAACCGCCGGAGCTGGTAACGACCACTGCTTTCCGCCATGTGCTCTGTTATTAGAAAAGAGTTCCGTTTACGCAACGCCTGGCTCAATTTCGAGCACCCGGAGTACTTCGGACGTTCCCAGTTAGCCTGCAGTACAAACATAAGTGTGAGTCCTATCTACATGTTTATGAGATCTAATGTAGCATATATTGCATCCATTTATATGATACCTGTTCTGATGTAATTAAAGTCTGTAATTAACATATATATATAGCGATAACAAATGAGCTAGGTCAATTATTTTTGGTGGATATGAAATATGATGATTATGTATAATAAGAACAAAACAATGGTGAGAATTGTGGGTTTGTCAATGATCGTGCATTAACAAGTACATGTATTAACGGTTTTCGATTTTGAAAACCATTTGCTTCATTTGAGATCAAGTTGTGTTCTTTAAAGATATCATCGGAAACGATTACAAGCGCAGTCTGCTGGTATAAATTTCACTTAGGGGCTACGTCTGTTCTTTAACTGGGTCGTATCTTCTGTCAAGCTTCAGTTAATTTCTGTGGATTATTACAATGCGTCTTTTTCATGTTCAGACTTTGCTGGTCGACTCGTGTGCAGTTCTTTCCTTATCAATAGGACGCCTTACATGGTTATCTGTCAAATCACTGCTATTTTCTTCATGTATTTTCGCGAGTTTAGCGTTATGAATAATTGCAACGGTATGGGTATGATTAGCTCGGGATTACTGCCGCAACACATATACTTATGACAGAAAGCTGAGATTTCACAAATGGACAGTCGAGCAGGAACTAGGTAATGGCGAATGGGTAACTTGATACAGACGCACCTGAGCTCATTCAGGCCAACGCTCTATTATCTCACCTGTACTTTCTGCTTTGTATTTATGACTGACTGAGTATGGTTTTACGCCGCTTCTAGCAATATTCCAGCAATATCATCGCTGGGGACACCAGAAATGAGTTTCTCACATTGTACCCATGAGGGGAATTGAACCCGGGTCTTTGGCGCGAGGAACGAACGCTTTAATCACTAGGCTACCCCACAGACCCTCGTATTTATGAAGAATGTTCCTATTGTAAATGTCCGACTGACCACCATCTTGCGTGTGTACGCAGTGGCAGTCCATAGCTTGCTGAGACAGGTTTTGAAATAAAGTGAAAAGTTAAGTAATCGATTTAAACATCTTTCATTTACAAATGTGAAAAGGTTTGGGGACAAATGATCCAACTTAAAATGCATAACCGCTCCCTGACATTTACATACATACATTTTCACCATCAAATATTTTAGGACGGAATAGAGAGAAAGTATAGAAAAGTTAAATAGAGGAAGGAACACAACAAGTGATCACTCAAAAACGTTTTGACTGATTAATAAAAGTTTGTACTGATTTGAAAACATATTCATTCTCTTGAATAGTCATATCAGGACTTCCAAGTACATTATACCAGTGAAGATCCGGGTTTGAATATTGATCTTCAGTAACCCATGCTTGTCGTAAGAGGCGACTATCGGGATCGGGTGGTCAGGCTTGCTGACTTGGTTGACACATGTCATCGGTCCCCAATTGCGCAGATCGATGCTCATACTGTTGATCACTGGATTGTCTGGTCCAGACTCGATTATTTACAGTTCGCCGCAATATAGCTGGAATATTGCTGAGTGCGGCGTATAACTAAACTCACTCACTCACTCCAAGTAACATTAATGACAATGTTATTGGAGAGTCACGTTTTACAATACTTTTCAAATTTAACATTAATGTCAAGCATTACCTCAATAAAAAGAAGCAGAACCATTCATGTTAAAACGATACCGGGCATAGTTAATATATATTATATTCATACATCTCAACTTTGTACAATATTAAATTTTCTAATTCCAAAGGAGTAATATGATGGAGCTACAGGTTGTTCACACTTTAAATGACTTGAAGCCATGTATTGAAGGCATTCTTTCAGTATCAGACTGACTGACTGACTGAGTTTGGTTTTACGCCGCTTTTAGCAATATTCCAGCAACATCACGGCGGGGAACACCAGAAAAGGGCTTCACACCTTGTACCCTTGTGGGGATTCGAACCCGGGTGTTCGGGGTGACGAGCCAACGCTTTAACCACTAGGCTACCCCACCGCCCCTTCAGTATCAGAAATATCCGTAATCTTATAGTTGCTAAAAAGGAATCATACGAATGTCTTAACCTTGCAGAACGTAGAACAATATTGTTAACATTCTAAATGTTATAAGTATATCTTGGTCCTACATTATCTGGGGTTATATCATTTTTAAGTATACAGGAGCTAAATCACTCTGGGTTGTTTTTTTAAAGTAGACAAAGCTTTGTTCTTTTTCTTCGTTCATCCAGGATTTCCCATCCTGTTTCATAACATAGAATTTGTCGTGAGGTATATCTACCTCCTTAATGAGATACGGCGTGTCGGTACCGAAGCAAGTACTTGGCTTGATTATGTCAGTTTCGTTCTCGCAAATCAACTTTGCAGACATTTATATCCTAAACAGAACGCCGTCAGTTTATTGCACCATTGTAAACGTGTTCAAGAGAGACTTCACAAACGGGGGTTGGCAATAAAAAGTTCATAACGATAGCACTTTTCCGTACCTAATGTTACAAATGTGGATACAATCAGCACCCTGGGACTGTTTACCATTACTTTCATATAGCTAAAGAAACATTAGTACCACAACCCTTGGTATCAAACGTTAATGTATTATATAAATCATATTGAGGGACGTGGGTGTATGTGTGTGTAACTCCTGACTACCCAGTTAATTTTGTGACGTGTTTCTCCTTTTTTGAGATATATAGTTGAATTCCCAATCTGATATTATATTCTATACTTTATTACAAATTAGTAACTGGTTGGCAGTTCAAGACAAGAGCTCGGGTACCCATGTGCGAAACCCCTTTTGTTGTACCCCGTTGTTGTGATGCTGGAATATAGCAGGCAGAGACTGCACTCATTCGATGAGTTATTGGCTATTGTTTTACGCCGGACTCAGTAATATCCCAGCCTGTAATTATCCTGTCTTCACCCCAGAATCCAGTAATTGAAATATAAGCTGCCAGAGTAAGATAACACGCAAACGTCACCCATCGTGAAAACTCCTTCCATTGAGGTACCGTCACGATATGGCTGAAATACTGCCGATGTGACTTTAAATCTTAACTCACTCACTCACTCACTCCATTGAGCTACCAATTATTTACGACCAATAGCTTGGATCCTATATGCCCACCTGCTTTCCAAAAGGGGTAGATAAGTTACAAGTGAAAAGAAATACAAATGAAACATTCGTATCATGGCTGTATTTGATACTTAAAAATGTTTACATTTAAAAGATCAGAATGGTTATATTTGATATTGGGGCGGTGGGGTACCCAAATGGTTAAAGCGTTCGCTTGTCACGCCGAAGACCGTGGTTCGATTCCCCACATGGGTACAATGTGTGAAACCCATTTCTGGTGTCCTCCGCCGTGTGGTTGCTAGAATATTGTTAAAAGCGGCGTAAAACTCACTCACTCACTATATTTGATATTTCAATATCGTTATATCTGATACTTCAAAATTGTTACATTTGATATTTTATGGCTATATATATATATTTGATACTTCAAAATGGTTATATTTGACACTTCAATTTCAGTCAAAATGGACCTGTGCGGGGTACATCATCTACCGCTTGCTGATTGCCGGTTATGCATGTTTTGCCCTTGCGAACGTCTTCATCGGGGCGGCAAAAGACGACCACGTCAACACGATGTCACCCAACGTAACGCAGCCACGTCACTACCACACCATGGTCTTTCTGACTGTTTGGTCCTACCTGCTTCTCACCTGTCATCTTGTACTAGCGCTCATAATAGCCCTAGTCTATTTAAAATACTCAAAGACGTCATCGACTGACTGTCAGCTGAAAAGCGTCACCATTTCCGGGTTTTACGACAACGCGTCCTTCACCTCCGATAACGCCAATGGTTTGGTGAGAGAAAACAACAAAAGCGTGGTCTTGGACAAGGAAAATAATGTAAAAATTATCGACGGTACCAAACCAGATTTGAACGCTTCTAATCCAGACATCGACAATAGCACAGCCATCCTTCCTTGGTATTCGAAAATATCGTGGATCCTTTCAAACATATTGTCGTCGTTCGCTATAATTGTGACTGCAATATTTTTCGGTGTGTTGTACACACCGACGGCCGGTATATCCCTCGAAGACTTAAACGTCCACGCCCTTAACACCGTCTTCATCGTCGTCGACAACTTTATTAGCGCCCGCCCCGTGCGACTTCTACACGTCATATACCCCGTACTGTACGGCATCGTCTACGTCCTTTTCAGCCTCATTTTTTGGGCAGTTGACCATCGCAACGTCATCTACCCAATCGTTTTAGACTGGAACAACGTCGGACTCACCCTTGGTGTTACTAGTGGTATCGTGGTGTTAACGTTTGTACTTCATAGCTTTCAGTTTGGTTTATATCGTTTGAAACTTTTTGTTTATGGCAAATGTCGTTCAGTCTGACGTTGCCATGTTTTCACTTTAATCAAAACTGATTCAACCATGACCCGGAAAACTAAAAGCGGTGTTCTTACCTTTGTCAAGCTCAGACACTTAATGGTTACCGTGTTTCTTATATCCATATACACATCCTTACCCATTGCATTCATTTGACACCTCTGACAATGTGTGTCAATTCATATTTAGGACAGGGCGGTGGGGTAGCCTAGTGGTTAAAGCGCCCGCTCGTCACACTGAAGACCCGGGTTCTATCCCCTCATGGGTACATTGTGTAAAGCCCGTTTCTGGTGTCCCCTGCCTTGATATTGCTGGGATATTGCTAAAAGCGGTGTAAAACCATACTCACTCACTCATATTTAGGACAATGAGAACATCTTGTGTATTTTACTCATTGTGCATAAGTCTCGTATATTACTCGTATTTTAGTCGAAAGTAAGTGTGATCAATTATCTTCTTCTTGACAATTGCACTATTGCATCTTAGTATGTTTTTAAACTGTGTACAGCATAACCCAATTATTGATCACGGTGGGGCTGCCCTCCAGTCGTACGTCAATATCAACAATGTAAACCAGCGACCTTAATTAGCGTGAATCATATGACGTGATGATGATTACTTTCGCCCTTTAATGTAGATTTCTTCCTGGTGAAAACTGAATCTCGTGTTGTCTCACTCAGGTGTACTTTGCTGTTGCTATAGCAACCTCGTTGTGTTTTCATGTTCGGTCTTCGAAATCTGCAGCTGTAGCTATCGGTTATTGGTTCCAGCTCGTGTTCTGTGGAGAGTAGTATAGTCAGGTTAAAATTTAGCTTACACATACCCAGTGACAGTAAGCGTTTGTGACTTGCTTTTCATATCAGTGTCTTACTGCAGACCGAAGCAAAAACTATGTGTTCACCTTTTCAATCCCAGAGCTTGCCAAATATTCTGTTTCTCCCAGTGTTTGTTAAATATCCTATCTCTTCCAGTCCCTGTGAAATATCCTGACACTCATAGTCCCCGTCCAACATCGTGCACCTCACAGTCCCTGTCAAATATCCAGTCTCTCCTGGTCCCTGTCAAATATCCAGTCTCTCTTGGTCTCTGTCAGATATCCTGTATCTCTTGGTCCTTGTCAAATATCCTGTATCTCTTGGTCTCTGTCAAATATCCAGTTTCTTTGGTCTCTGTCAAATATCCTGTATCTCTTGGTCCCTGTCAGATATCCTGTATCTCCTGGTCCCTGTCAAATATCCAGTCTCTCCTGGTCCCTGTCAAATATCCAGTCTCTCCTGGTCCCTGTCAAATATCCAGTCTCTCTTGGTCTCTGTCAGATATCCTGTATCTCTTGGTCCCTGTCAAATATCCAGTCTCTCCTGGTCCCTGTCAAATATCCAGTCTCTCCTGGTCCCTGTCAAATATCCAGTCTCTCCTGGTCCCTGTCAAATATCCAGTCTCTCCTGGTCCCTGTCAAATATCCTGTATCTCTTGGTCCCTGTCAGATATCCTGTATCTCTTGGTCTCTATCAAATATCCAGTCTCTCTTGGTCTCTATCAAATATTCAGTTTCTCTTGGTCTCTGTCAAATATCCAGTCTCTCTTGGTATCTGTCAGATATCCTGTATCTCTTGGTCTCTATCAAATATCCAGTCTCTCCCAATCTCTGTCAACCCCATCCCCACAATATTTAATGGTTGTTATCATATGGTATATTACCATGTAAAGCGTATAGGTGTAAAGATGAAAAGTGCTCAGGTGTTTTACAAGATTATGGTTGTGACTGAACTTGCTAAGGTCTCCAAGGCAGTAATATCAGTTGAAATAATCACCTAGACTTGCTTCTTTAAATAATCATAATAATAATGGCCATTTATAAAGCGGCTGATCCCACGCACTTGTGTATGCTCAAGGCGCTACCTCATTAGTACCCCGGATAACCCAGGCTGTGAGGCGCTAGAAGGCCATATGACTTATCCCACCGGATACCCTTTCACTGCTGGTGAACGGAGACAATTCATGAACAAACTCACTTGCCTAAGGTATGACCACATGTTCACATGTGCTTTGTTGTAGGGCAGGACTGAAGTCCTAGAAACTCTCAGGAGCCAAGCTGTCACACACGGTCACACATCTAACGACTCTCCGCGCTCAACGTTACTTAACTTCAATTGATTTGTGACCTGAGCTCATGACCACACACCACCACGACATATAACTTCTTCACATGCTTCGACTTGTTATTCAGTACAGACATGAAGCAAGTATAGATTGTAACCCGATGAGTTATGGTCAAAAAGTGTGTCAACCGATCACGCCAGGTTACAGATAAGCTTAGTTTAATGTTTCAACCAGAAGTACATGTGGCTATGTAAGCTGTTCGATATTATGACATTTGAAAATGTAGAGTTCACGTTCTTAATGTGGAGACAACAAGGCTAATTATTTACAAAAATCGATGGTCTCTGGAAATTTGGATTATGTATCGAAAGTGCGTAATGATTCCTGTCATTTTGTTTCTTTAGCCGAGTGTAATAACCCTCTGATATTTGTACATATTCCGATATTCCGCGATTCTCAATGGTGATTGGTCACTTGACGTCATATGACGTCATGTTACTGAATAGATCCGGTGTTTAACTTGTGGTTGTGTGGTGGATGTACTTTAGGTCACTGTTCTGAGAAGTTTAGGTTAGCTGCGTCCCTCATCCTGGACAGGATACACTGAATGTCACGTTGAGCAATCGAAGACTATGGCGGTATATTAACAATTTACCCGTGCTCTTGGTTTTTAAACAAAATGGGCAACGTGATCCTCGGCCTTTTTGCCATCAGCCCTTCCACTATGAAGGGGTCTTCTTTGCCATGTTAAAGATTGGCTTCATCCGTGTTTCCATACGCACACTCACTTACATACGCACACGCGTACATGCGAAGCAGAATAATAGGAAAGGATAGACCGTGAACAGTTAAACCCCATTCACCCCACCCAAATTGTTTGCATAGTTCCGGATGAACAGAATCCGATATCGAATCCTGTCCATAGTGTAGTGATACTTTGTATTCTTGTTGACTTATTTATCAGTAATCCCCCCGAGTGTTGTTGCTTTTGGTTGTTTCATTGTTTTTTTTGTTTATTTATATTTTGCTGGTGTTTTTAACACGTGTCAGCGAACTCATATATTGATACAACAATGACGGTTTGTTTTGCATATCATTATACGTCTCCACAATCAGTTACAGTTTACAGTTATGTCCGTCAAGACTTACCGTTTGCAGTGAAAAACGTACCGATGAATTTCACTTTAAACCAAAAAGTAAAACAAATAAAGAAAATTAAGACTGCAATCCTATTTTAAGAACATTTAAATCTCTCAGATTCGACTTACGATGTTGTTTAACAAACATACTATTAGTTTGCATTACGAGGGGTATTGCAGTGAAAACGTACCGCGATGAATTTCACTTTAAACCAAAAAGTAAAACAAATAAAGTAAAATTAAGACTGCGAATCCTCAAGATTTAACCTTGCCAATTGAACATTTAAATCTCAGAATTTTATTCGACTTAGGATAAAAGTTGTTTAACAAACAATCATAGTTTCACATGGCTATTATTGGTTTGCATTACGAGGGGGTATGCACATCAAATGAAACACCGAAAACGACAAGGGTTGTTATAAGTTAACGCTCTTCACGTACCGCACGTGCATTCGTTTCACTGTTCCAACTACTTCGCTTAGCCCATTGTAATACAAACCAGTAATAGCGATTTGATTCTATGATCGTTTGTTAAACAACTTTTATCCTAATTTGAATAAAATTTTGACATTTTTCCCCCGCCGTGATATTGCTGGAATATTGCAAAAAGCGGCGTAAAACTTAACTCACTCAGTCACTATAGCTACAAACAATTTGCATCGGATTCGAAGAGAAAATGTTATCAAATTTATATTTCATTCGTGAAAATAGTTATTAACGGATATATCAGTTCATGTATATATAAATTCTATGTTCTTGGGAGTATTCTTTGTGTTATTCAGTGACATTAAAGCCTGAATGTACTTTGAACTTGTTACAGTCCCATTTCACATGATTGAAGGTATATGTGCTTCAGCAGCCTCTGATAGCCCATTAATGTATTCACAATCATGTTACACTGTCCTATATTAGGACTGCTTGATACTATTTTTATGTTACCTACATTACCGGTGAAATTAAAAATAGGTACTTTGAACTCTGTGTTACAATTAAATGTGTGTGGTTTATTATGAGCGATCCATTGTTGAAAGATAGTGATGGCGTTTTATCATGAACGCAGGCTATGACCGTATTGGTTCACGTTATTGTTAATATTCAGCTGTTAAATTGTATCTTGTGAAGAACTAATGAGAGGTGCTTCGTTTCTTCGTTGTTTGGAATAAACATTTTCTTGATGAACAAATTTTTTTTGTTTTTGTCTTTTTAATGAGTGTGCATGCGTGTGTGCGTATGTGCGAGTGAGCGCTTGAGCGTGCTAGCGAGTAGTCAAGTAAGTGGGTAATACTTTCTTCATGAACCCCAACCACCTAATGGCCAAGGATGGCGTAAGAGCTAGTATGTACTACAGTCCGTTTGAGTCAGAAACGAACCCTTGAATTGCATATTTTATCATTGTATAAAATTGCCACATAAATATAAATAGTACACATGTTTATCATTTACTAATACCCAAAAGCTTTCTTATATTTGAAAATTTTCCGGACTCCACCAAGAAATTTCTTTGAGAAACTACCATTAAAATTTTGACACAGTTCACTATTTGTTACGAGGGAGGAGTGCAGAGAAAGGGACAGCCAGGTGTGCGAGAAAGGATGGAGACGGCACAGCACAGGCTAATGAATCGATAACTAGGTGGGCACTTGTGCACGTGCTTCTCGAACACCTGGCTGTCCCTTTCTCTGCACTCCTCCCTCGTAACAAATAATGAACTGTGTCAAAATTTTAATGATAGTTTGTTAAAGAACTGTTTTGATGGAGTCCGGAAAATTTTCAAATATAGAAAGCTGTTGGGTGTTAATAAATGATATGTACATGTGTACTATTTATATTTATGTGGCAATTTTGTACAATGATAAAATTTGCAATTCATCGGTCCGTTTCTGACTCAAACGGACTGTAGAACATGTACCGAATCGTCTAATATGTTGCTGCATAGTTGGTTGGTTGGTTGGTTGCTGACCGCCGCACTCAACAATATTCCAGCTATGTGGCGGCGGTTTGCAAATAATCGAGACTGGACCAGACAATCCAGTGATCAACAGCACAAGCATTGATCTACGCCATTGGGAACCGATGACATGTATCAACCAAGTCAGCGAGTCTGACCACCCGATCCCGTTAGTCGCCTCTAACGACAAGCATGGGTTGCTGAAGACCAATTCTAACCCGGATCTTCATGGGTCTTCGCTGTACAGAGTTGGACATTAATTGATCATGCATTAATTGTATCAAATTGATAAAAAAAAATAATAATGCATTTAATAATGCATTTTTGATTGGAAACACTCAGTGAATTGGCTGGAATATTGCTGCTGTTATGTATTGCTGAGTTTATTCACTCACTTACTCATTCACTCTCTCACTCACATATTGCTACAAGTAATCTTAGAAAATGTTTAAATAATAAGACATATAACCAAACTTAATTCAAACCCGGCATCGTCATAGTTTTATAATAAGTATGGTTTTACACCTCTTTTAACAATATTCCAGTACTTTTATCACTGCGG